CACCAACATTTGCTTTAACCAGACAGCGCTGGTCACCCCAGCACTCATCTTCACCTCTTTTTCCTTTGTGGCATTTTTTGGTTTGTCACTGATTGTGCAACCTGAATTTCCAGAAAAGAATTGTTGTCTTAAATTAGGAATTAACAACAACGTGTAAGTACTTCTTCAGAAAACATGCTTCTGAGGCTTCGATTTTTCTGTATTTATAATATGTTAACTTCACATAAAACAGTGTAGTAAGCTTCATGTGAGTTAGCACTAATCAGAAGATATCTTCCCTTTGTAACAGTTTTAATTTAGAAAACGGTGAGTTTTGTTGTGGGGAAGAAAACTTTGAAACAGTCAGTAGGACTTGTAGTTGCAAATATCTTTACAATTTTGCATGCACCTTTTTTCTGGGGTAGTGATAAAATTGAGTTTAATTTAAAAAAGCAATCCTATATGTTATTTGTCTCAAATGAAGCATGAACTTCATGTGAATGAATCTGAATTCTTCATTTAGGCAGTATGCTTTAAAAGTTATTAAAAATATACATCTGTGGGATGATAGGAAATAATTATCCATGGGGCTGTCAGCTCCGAACTTCCAGTCAGGCTCTTGTTAATGTTTAGAGACAGGCTCCTGAAAAAGAGAATGTTTGCTGTGTATAAGTATGAAGTGAGATGGGAAAAAACCCCTTTTGCGTTGTTCATTGATTATTATTTATAGGAGTAGCACATATAAAAATAGAACTTAGGCTTTTCTGTGAGATTTGAAAAGGGTTGTTTGTGTTTTGTTTTGTTTTTTTTTTCCCCTAAAGTTTTTGTGTCCACGCCTGTGCTTGCTTCTGTGTTAAATGCATTTTGTGTGTTATTGCTGTTTCAGTATAAGTAAGGATTACCCCGCTGTTCCTAAAGGGTTCCTAAACTCTCTCCTGGTTGCTTCTGGCCTGGTGTAGAACAGCCAGCTAACTTTGCAGAGCTGCATAACCCTCATAGCAGCCCTCAGCAGCCACATGCCTGTGTGCTGCGGCACGCGTGTGTCGGCACATCCACCTGCTTTCCCCCGTCCCCCACTCGCCTAGTCTAGTTTCAAGTATGGGTTTGAACACAGGTTGTTGCGCCAAACAAAACGTGACAGGATGCAGAGTTTTGCATTTAGTGTCAGCTTGTCCTTTCTCAAAAGGTTAATAATGACTCTCGGTGAAGAGAGAGCCCACACTGTACTCCAACACTAGCTACAAAGCTTCCTGCTCATGTTCACTAGGGTTTTAATTTTAATTCTGTGACTTCAATTCTATTAATTTATCGTCAGTGTGCAGTAGATGAGTTTTCAGGCTTAGTATTATCAATGGGAATTATTCACTTTGGCATTGATTTGGTCAAAGTGAATTTTACATTTTCTTCGCACATTTTTTTTTTTTTTTAGAAACCAACAACTATAAAAAGAGCAAAACTTTGGATTAGACCTTTTACTTCAGTGGTGACTGCCCTGCCCTGACAAGACTGTGCAAGATATACTAGTAGAGCACGTATAATATTTTCAAAGGCTGTAATCTTCATATCTCGCAGAGTGGAATGGTATTCTGTGACAATAGATGATAGGAAATTGGTTGGAGGCTTTCTGGTTTTCTATTTTCTAGTGTATTTATTGGCATGTCTAAACATGATAAGGGTTCTTGTGCTGTAAGACCATTTCCTCTTTTAAAATGATGCATAAAACGCAAGAATCACTATTTTATCTTAGCTACGGAGGTTAGGATCTGATGTTTTATTTTTCTTTCAGGAGCAAAATACCGTTTTTACATGCTTTTAGGCACATATACTCCACTTGCAAATGCTAGTGTGGGTATAATTTGTGTTGCTTTTCTACTGCTGGGCATAAGGACAAAATGCAGTAGGTGGTAACATTTGTATTTGGGGGATTGGCTTTGCCTCTTTTTCTCTATAGTTACTTTTATATAAGTACAAAATAATTGTTAAATGTAACAGTTTGAACTCTGCATACGCAGATACAGACAATCTGTATCACCGGAAGCAGTAAGTGATAGTCGTAGGTATCGGTAGAAAACAGTCAGCCATATGCTTAGCTGGAGTAATAGACATAAATTAGTATTAGTAGAGTCTGTAACAATTTCCACTGTCTGACATTGGCTTCTAGGAACTAGAAATGGACAAAATAACCTGCAGTTACAGACTCCTGCTCAAAAGTCAAGCGTGGGAGTTGGGAGGATTCTGTATTTGTTGATTGGACATTAGCACACTTTAAATATGGGTATCATACACAGTCTGTGTTCAGATCCCTGTGTGTTCATAGATTGGTTGGATTAATTGGGCAGTCTTATTTTCTTTTTTTCCTTGAGTACATTTCTTTACGATTGCTTAAATACCGTCACTGAAATGAGATTTCAGAGTGAAGTTGTTTTAAGGCCCCAGGACAATGATTTTTTCCTCTTCCTTCTTTACCATCAACCACTACCCCACATCCTTTCCTGATGTCCAACCTCAAAAAGATTCTGACTCGCTTGAAGCAGAGGCACAGTTTGTTTTTTGTTTTTGTTTTGTTTTTTTTTTTAAGATTTTTAAAAATACTGCTCTTTGCCAAGAAATAAACAGAGCAAGGCTAAAAAATTGAGTCCAATTCAACCTTCCCTATTTCAGTTTCCACACTCTTTTGAGCATTTTTAAATAGTCAGCCACCATTCTCTGGTTTGTACATATTTTCCTTTCTAAATTGTGAAGTGAGTCTCACTGCTGTCTTCTAGAGTGGTTACAGCTCCATGTGCAATGAACATATGTTGTTGTTCTTATTACTTTGTATCCTAAAACCACCCCCCCTTAAAGCCCTTAAGCTAGGTAGTCTTAATTTGTTTTTATAAAAATGGGTAATAACTCATTTATTCATCTGAGTATTTATTCATTCTCATACTTAAAGTTGCTTTTTTTTTTTTTTTTTCAGAGCTGCCAAATAGCCAAGGTCCTCCATCATTCCATGTCTGAAGCACAACTTTAATCCATCAATTGAACACAGGCTCCATCCTAGTATTATCTGGTTAAACCAGTTAATCTGTCTTTCAGCTTTTTTACATGGACAAGGAGGTATGAATTCTTACTACTATGTGCAAAGAATTTCAAAAGCGTTCTATTTCAAAAAAGGAATTAAAAGTGCAGTGTACTTACCAGCACTTATGTGCTGTTTTGGTATATAATATATACCAAAGTCATTTATGCAATGTAGAAGTATATTAAAAAAAAAAAAAAAGAACTCGTCAGTCATAGCTTGTTCCAGGTATTATTGTATCACAGCTCAACAGAACTGAAATGTAATTATCAATAAAGGTAAGATTTCTAACTGTATTCCTGCCTCTTCTGGGTTATATTATCTCCCATTTGGAAGTAAGTGAAGGGCATAGGGACATGGCCTCTCTTATTATATAGCAAGACCTTTACTAGCCTTAAAGAGGTGTTTGGGATTTTTTTCCCCTCAGCTGAAGTTTTTTGTGCTATCTTAGCTTATAAGTTTGCGTCACAAGGAAACTGTAAACAGTGTCATCATATGTGCACATTTGTAAACCAAATCTCTGAAATTAGGAAATTCAGGCTAAGTGCAGTATCGAACTGCTTTTCATGGCTATAAGCTAGCAAATAGCAAAGAATCCTGTTTGTTTACCTAATTAATATTTTTAACAATTCTAGATGGTGATTTCCTGTATGCCTTTTAATAAACGCCTGCTGAAGGAGTTTGCTGGCACTGGAGCCGTGAGTCATATCTTCAGTTCACCCAGACATAAAGTCTAGAAGCAGAAGTCAGAGATGAACAAACCACACACACAGGTTATGGTTTATTCTGAAGTTATTTGCCAGACTTTTTAGTAGCTGTGGTAGAAACTCACTCAAATGAGTTATTAAAAAAAAATGGAAACAGGTGAGCAGTGCAGCTCTAAATTCAGTGGGATTTGTTCAAAGGCATACAAAAAAAGACACCCTCCCTGTTTTGGATGACTGAGCAAATTAAACTCAATTCCTGCAGAGTGCACTTTGAGCACAGATGCCTGAGTTTCCTGTGTTGTCGCTGTACACAGACGCATGCTTAACACAGCTCATGAGACTTAGACCAGCAACAATGTGGGGAGACCTGAGTTTGCCCAATCTAACCACAATTATAATGCTTCTCCTCTAGAGCTGCTACACGCCTGTACTGCTGTGGCTAGTGCCTGTGCAGAAGTGCCAGTTGGGTGAGCAGTGACCAGTTAAGGTGTAGATTCAGCGCTCACGGACTTTGACATTCTCCTACCTCGATTAGAGTGGTTTGATCATCAGCTCATACCACTCAGAATTTTAGCAATTACATGCTGGTAGGCATCTCTCTATTCAGGTAGGCTTAGGTATTCAAGGAGCAGACTTAGTTCTACAGATTTGAAACGTACCTGTCATTCAATGCTTTCAGGCAGACACCGTCAATTTTATCAAGGGAAGGAGTAGGAGAAATCTTACTCATTTTTTTTCTACTGCTTTGCTTCTTGTAGGTCCTAAAGAACAAAAGAGCAGGTAAGTCTGTCTGGGTGATTTGGTGAACATCACGTTGAGAGGAACTCCGTCTACACTGATGGAATGAAGGAGAGAGATACACTTCCTTTAGTCTGTAGTCTGCTGCCAGCTCCTGATGGAAAGAAAATTTGGCTTCTTAACGTAAGTAAGTATTAATAACTTTTTTTTTTTTTTTATTAAAAGGCCAATTCAGGAGACAAGAAAGAGGAATATGAAGCTTCTGAATAAGTAATTTTAAGTGAAGTCATCTTCTAGCAAGTTGTCTATGCAAGCTTCCTCCAGAAATGCAGCACTCTACTATGCATTAAACATGTAAGTATTAAATAAACAACTCACACTGAATACCTGTTAGAATCTCTATGTCATCACTTTCTCTCTGGGTTAATATTTAATTAACACCCAGGCAGGACATCTGTGAAAATCTAGTTTCGATCAGCTTTGCTGTTTCTATATTACATCACAAGAGATCTGAATAAATGTGGTAATGTTTTATTGATCACAAACATAATACTTCTTTCAGCAATTAAAATGCATGATGATTCATATGAACAAAGTGAAAATAAAGCACAACCAAAAAGTTACTTCACATTTTTTCCTATTTCATTCCTAGTGTAAGCAATAAATACAACGCTGTTGCTTCTTTTAATCTTATTTACATGGGACAATACTTGAATGTTGCCTGGTTTCCAGCCCAAATGTTTCATGATGTGGAAAGGAGTACGTGTTGCAGCATTTTTACAGCCAAATACTGTAGTAGATCATCACAAAGGAAAAATACATAGCATAAGTGCTAACATTCAAACAAACAAACAACTGGGGGGACCCTGCAATGGAGCCTTTTATTAACTGAAGACAGTAGCATGAAAAATAGACGTTCCCTCTCAGAGAACGCTAACATGCTGGTATTACAGATACCAAATATAAGACAAGTATTTCTGTAGCCCCTGTAGACTGATACAATGAATCCACACTAAACAATAAAAGAATAAAGAGCAAATCATAACAAATAACCATTTGCATGTTCAACGGAATCTCACAGCCCCACCAAAACAGAGTTTACTTCCATCCTTGAGAATAAAGATGAGGACTACAACATTCTGTGAAGCAGAAAATAAGCCACGAGAAATCATCCTAAGGATCTGATTTTAATTTACTGTGACAGAAAAACATTTTAAAAAGTCAACCCTTCTCTTGGTTGTGTAGGAACTGAAGAAGGTGAAGTAGGAAGACAAAAGAGGGAATTGATATTTTCCAATGCAAAATTGGAAACAGATTAACCTCATGAGGAGGGGGGAAATGTAGCTCTCCTATGCCATGTAACCCTCCACAGCCACAAACATTTTCTTGCACATCCAGCTGGATGTGTGTTTCTTTTCCAGACAGACACATGCCTAGAAGCACACTGTGATTGCCCACCTAGAAGTAGAATGATTTCTGGGGAAAAACAATTTTCCCTCCTAAATTACCCTTACAAGGTTCACCTAACAGAGGACAGAGAGCAATTAGCAACCAGTGCTTTGCATTAAATGATAAAAATTCATAGGCTATTAAATTTGAATGCTTAGATGAGAATGAAGCTTAACTCAAAATCTAATACTGTATCACCCCTAAGGTGTCACATATTTTTTAATTACAACCACCCACCAGGTACCATTGAAATAGCTGTCTGATAATATGCCATAAAGGACTTCAAAGCACTTTTAAATGGACAGATATAGCTGCCTGGGATTTGATTCACAGCTGGTACCTACTCATTCTGAAAATGGGACTCAAGACAGATTTATACCAGTTGATGATCTGGTCTCACAAGTGTAAATGGGCTCTAGCAGAGCAGGGATACTCTGCACCACTAATATTTTCTGAATTGCACAGATTTCAAGTAACACTACGTAAATCAGCAACCAGAGTTGTAAGTAACCTCTAATCATCTCGTAGCAGATACCGTTACTGTATTCTTCCAATTTAAGAGATTGTGAAATCTGATGGACAGATTCCACACTATTCTAAAGGGCAGATTGCAACCGACTTTTCAAATCATTCCAATCAACCAGACAGCCTTGCAGAAGAACAGAAATCTTGATTTGTGCGTCCTAGCGGAGATTTGTGCATCCTAGCTGAGATTCTATATTATGAAACTAAATCATTAATAAAGCACTTTCTAAATTCAACTCCAGATATAAGAACTGTAAAAAGACTACAGAAAGGTGCAACTGGCATGAACTTACCGTATCCTCCTAATGTTTTCCTTTTAACTACAAAGCATTTAAAGCCTTATAAAATCACAAACCAATAAACGCTGTGACAGCAAATTACCTAGATGCTAATGCAGCTAACAGAAAGGCTACTGACAAAAATGTTTAAATGTTAAAATCAAGTTGTTAATATACAAAATTAAGTATTTAAAAATGAAGTGGTCTCAGAAAGAACTCTCTCTCATTTTTTTGACTGGCTTACATGCACCAGAAACATACTAATTAGCATAAGTTTATCAACTCTAGCATCTACATTTTTTCTACTTTTGTTTTTTCCCCACTTCAAATAAACTCATCTGCATAATAAACAAATAAAACCTCTTTCTACTTTTGGCATTTTTAGTAAGGCTTTTATAAACTCACCTCATATCATGCCCTCAAATCTTGAGCATTTTTGTAATTTCACTTAAATACAATTTCTTCAAAACATAAAGATTTCCAAAACCACAGATTGCTATCAAGTCATATTTTCTCAAGACCTTCCTGACAACCTCCTAATTTTCAGAGACCTTTATTCACCAGTAGAACCAAAGAAACAACTTACTAAGTACTGTTCTACACTAGGTAACTGAAATAGATTCAGAATCAAGCACTCCAAAATAACACTAGAATTCTCAATCTATAATGTTTTGAACTTTTGTAAGACAAACTTTATATTGGATTTTCCAAATAATGACAGTTACTAACATTAATTTGCTTTGTTAGTCTGAATCTCATACACTGGCTTTAAAGGTAGTATGTCATTTGCACTGCGTTCAGTCTCGCATGCTTTTCTCAGGCAAAAAAAAATCCACAAAATTAATGAACACTTTCCCCCAAGAATGAAGGAATAAATCATGAAGCATACGGCCAGGGAAATGCTTACAAATAAAACAAACCAACAACATGACTACAACTTAGTCTGTACATGATCTTTTCCCAGTTGAGTAAATTCCAGAAGCACACAGTGAAGTTCCGTCAGCTTCAGTGACGCAGTAGTGTCTGGAAGGATTTACAGTGATTCAAGTTACTACTTTTCTTTCTGGTAGTAAGGCCTCATTGATCTTGTCTCTGTTAAAGCCAATAAGAAACTTCCACAAACTTGAGGAGGAGGAGACAGTTCTGTATATACAAAATTAGTTTAAATAGTATTGCTCAAAGCTTTGTGTAAAATATTGCATTGCAGTACAGAAGTAAGTAGAGCCTCTGACCTGCAGTGGTATGTCTATGCTCGATTTAAAATAGTGGAAAAAACAAACTGGCCAAACCAAACGATCAATATATTTGAGCCTCTTATCATGGACTATCTGCTGGGCTTTTCTGACAGTCAAGTTCTCGACACGGAATTAACCTGGCCAATCTATTCTTATTATTGCACCTACCTCAATCATTTTCCTTTGTCCTGTTTTAGGTTGAATTAAGACAATACAGTATGTTATTTACACTCTAAGATTCTGTAAGCAAATGAAGTGGCTTCAACACGACACAGTCTTATACAAACTTCCAAGAAAATAAGAAATCCTTCATTGATTCCCTTTGTACAAAAATTGCCAACTTGGTCTACACGGTAGAAACTGAAGAGGCAAAGTTTGCATCCTTATATAAATGTACATACATATATAGATATATATGTACAGATGTCCATACTATATAGACACACAGAAACACAAACATATGTATATATGCATATATATACATACATATGAAAAACGTGTTGGTTTAGTTTGCATCATTCAGGAGAATAACATATCCCAAGTTAGGTAAAAATCTTCTGGCCGTGAGGTCATCAAATCGAACTCAGAGTTCCCAAGGGTGAGCTCATGGGCATGTGCTGAGCCTTTGGCAGTCAACCATACAGCTTTTCAGTTTTTAAAACAACGCTCTCCATGTCATGGCAGCTCTTCCCATTTAAATGTTCGCTGGTACAGTCGTGACTGTAGCTGTAGCCTTGGACATCGCTGATTGACGATACGGTGTAGGAAGCTGTGCGCATAGCATCCGAGTGGCTGAAGCTGTGCTCAAATTGGATTTTGTACTGATTCCAGTGTCTTCTCAAAACAGCTTGGACCTATGCCAGACGACAAGAAGAAATGCATGTCAAACACTTGGAAAGGTGTCGCTGGACTTCGTTCATGGGTGCATGAGTGCCATAATAAATGTGTCTAAGCAAAGTAAGTAGTAAGGCACAGTAATCCTGGAAAACGGGGGTACCTACTGTGGTCTGTCACGAGATATTCTGAAAGATTTACAATGTAAGTAGGCAAAGTTCTTTGGAAATGTTCTTTGGCAAAGTTGGTGTGAAATAATTTTTTTACAGTTGTAGGGTACTAGTTGCTCAGGAAAAGCACAGATTACAGGAGGAGCAGCAGCAACACGATTTGCTGCTTTCTCCCCTGTGGACTGAAGCCCAGTGCGGACAGATCAGATTTACAGATGAAAAAGGACATTTTATTCACCCTTACATTCAAAAGGCCACATCCTCAGCAGCTGTAAATTCCTATACTCTCAACAAACCACAATTTACATTTGTTATGGTTCTGGCACAAGGAAGCCTGTCTTCATTTCTCACCATACCTTAATCAAATGACTAGAAGGACAATTTCCCAAACTCCATATTTTTACCAGGGTTAAAAATAAAGCTGAGAAAATAGCTGAAGGCCCCAGCTGGTTTACATGGCTCCACTGAAAGGATGTTATGTTTATCATAGCCTTCCTCCCCTACAATACAGTTAAACACCTGTGCATACTGGATTGATGAAGTGTCACATTCATGACATTCACGTGGAATTAGTCTTTCAGTGAAAATGCCAAGTGAAGAATGCTAAGAATGGTAATAGCTATTCTTGCCTTTTCAAGAGTTTGTTTGTTTTAGTTTTTTTTTTTAATGTTGAAAAACCTGCCCATAGATCATGAATATTTAATTACCTTTTCAGTCAAACTATGTGCATGAAGTATTCCTGCATTGACTGGCAAGGCACTGACTCTCAAAAATTGCCTGGGGGGACCCTGACATATTTATCCAGCAGTGCACCCCAAAGCACAGGCCTCCTTCACAGGCATGACCTTTGTTTCACTTCATTACATACAAAAGAATTAAACAGTGAACAGTGATTCCCCCTGTTAAATGTTGAAATTGTGGGTAAATATTTTTAGGATTTTCCATGTGTCTTCAGGGTCTCTTTTGTGTTTGCTTTTTATTTCCCTAATACAATGGCTTCTTTTGTCTAATTTTACTCTGGCTTTAATTATGAAAAATAAAAATAAACAGAAGAAGAGAGATGTAATTTTTAGACTTCCTGCAGTCTGGTATCAGAATCCTCTGTTTAAAGGAGAACTTCATATGTCTTAGAATCCTTACAAAGAAAACATAAAAGGGTAAGGTAAGACGTATCAACTGAGTAACATAAAAAATTAGTATTTTAGGGAAAAGGAGATGCTCTTTGACCGTTCATAAAACTATTCTAATCCACTCGGAAGATCTAAACACAAATCTACAAACACTGAAATCAAGTGTCTAAATACTTCTGAGTATCTGATCTTATTTCTTTTCATATCAAAATCCTGTACTTCTTCCAAGTCTAACTGGAGAGTTTGTGTTTCATTGCAGGAAGATTTCATTAATTAACTTGGATTGCATAGCAATATATAGCCTTAAATCTTCACATAGGTTGAATCTATTTCCTGTAATCCCTCATAAAGACAAGAGAAGAGGCATATTCAAACATTCCATCTTTTCCAAGAAGGAAGCTCCGAATTCATTTTTAACTCATATAGATCAGCCTGTGTATATCACTAAGCTATGTTTTTCTTTCCATGTCAATCACCTCAATAAGGTTAGCATTTCATTGTACACACACACACACACACAAACAAAATCACCTATTGAGCAATGTTCACTTTCAGCAAGGTGGGCTTGAGATGGGAAAATGCCAGTAACTGCAACTAAATGGCTTAACCAAGGTCAAAGAAGTCTTGGCAGAGCTGGGAAATGAACTAGACTTGCCTAGTTGCAAAAAAGCCTTACACTCAGGTCCTCTCCCACACTTCCTCCTGGTTGCTCCAGTAACACCTGTTTGTCTTATTTTCACTTGTTAATATTTGTAAACCAATCCTAAAGCATATCAGTCCCTATAGCTCAGGAGAGCCACCAGCATTCCTGCAAGACAAGGGCCTTGGGGCCACATCTAAGGAAAAAAACAGCCTGTTTAGCTTGCCCCCTGGCCAATGACAGATTGCTATAATTAGTGTTTCCTGTATGGGCAAACACCTTTTCCTCTGTGCCCGCCCCAGTGCCCATGGTGCTGCCTCGGTGCATTTCCAAATGAGCCATCTATTTCTGGCATTCTTCCCACAGCCTCCCTGTTACTGCTGGATCAGTATTTTACCTCTGTCGTCCTCCATGTCTCTTCTTGTAGAGTGCTACATCCTTTCATTTATTGTTACTGTCTTTCGGTCTTCTCTAGACCATCCAATCAAACATTTGTAGAAGAAGATGAGACGCCTAATTTTCACCACTAATTTTACTCTGTTTAACAATGTGTGTGCCTACCCAAGAGGTGAAAACAGAGCTTTTATCACTCTGTTCTTACCTTTGGGCAGTTGCACAGAGCTGTAAATTCAGCTTAGGAGGGGTAGCACTTTGTTTCTTCATTATAAGAAAGGGCATTAAGCAATGCATTTATAGCAAGAAAGTAGTGTAATAAATGTAATTCTATTTTTCAGTCATTCATAAAGATACCAGTTCCAGCTGGAAGATTCTTGCTTTCTCACCTTGTTAGTAATGGCTCTTTTTCATAAGTTTTCTTGAAGGGCTCCTCCTAATCAGCTCTTTAACATAATGGTAGCTTAATGTTCAATATAGCACAAATTAAACAGCTCGGTAGCCAATAAGGAGGAAAAAAACGCACAAAACAACCTCGCCTACTGATAGAGCAGTTGTATAATCCTGTAGTCCCAAGACCATCATCTTTACTACAGCATTTCTAGAGACCCGCAGAAGAAAAGAAAAAAAAAAAACCCAAGCCCCGCTAAACCTTACATGGATAACGTAGGTCATTATTATCACCTCTTATTAATAGCTCAGTAGGAATCCTTCTAGTGCTTTATCAGAGATCTGGGACAAGCTTCTCCTCCGACTGCAGCCCGTGTCACTCCCAAGGCTGCTCTAGTCCAACTCAAACTGGAAAACATGATGAGGTAGTCAAGAAGCCTCTTCCTCTGGGGGATGCCGGGCCATAATCACCATGCGAGTGTCCCTAGGGAAGCGCTGCCACAGCAGGTACAGACAAAGGGTTTGCGTGTCTGCCCTTGTCTGCAGGGGGCTTGGGACAAAGAGCCACAGGGCATGTTAGAGCGGGATTTGACAGATCATCCCTGGCTGCACTGCTCAAGAAGTCTGGAGACATTCCTTGGCTGCAATCAGCAGGACGTACCCGCTAGTTTTCTTACATTTCTTAGTTTATTTTCATTTGAGCTCTCTGACAGCAGACTACTTTTACTCCTGTTTGTGCCAGAGGTGGCCTGCAAGCCACCACCCGAACCGGGTTTCCCTCCCGATATTTGGTACAGAAGACATTAAAAGGTGCAGTAGCGGTTGGGTAACGCTAAGATTTAGACAGAAAGAAATGAGTGCTTTTAGCATTTTTCATTGCTAATATCCCACCAGAAAATCCTCGCCCCATTGCTGGTGTCAGTTCCAATCCCTGTATTCACCTCTACACCTCAGCCGTGCTGCAGACACGCGGTAACACCGCGCTCTGACGCCAATCGTTTCGTACAGTCTAACGAGGCGTTGCCGTGACGGGTGATGATAAAGAAGCATCTTGTACACCACGGCTAAGCCGCGGTGGCAGGCTTTGTTCAGGCAGTGGTATGACAGCAACGCACTGTAACGGTGCCAGAATACACGTGTGCCCGCAGGCGCACACGCCAGGAGCACAGTCTGCTAGCAGGCAAAGGAAACACTCTTGTTTTCTGTGCAGACATTTTTTTCCTAACTGCACTGTCATTCTCCCCATGGATTTCCTTACTGATACAGTTGTTTATAAAGCAATAAATCCCTTGAACAAGGCATAATGAAGGCACTGAAGCACTGAACCCAAAATTGGTTTAAAGCGCGTAAGTTTGCACTCTAGAGAGAGCAAATACAGACAGGTATGTTTAACAGACAGAGTCAAGGCACAGGGTCTAAAAATTAAATGTCTAAATTACTAAATGTTAAAATGGCTAACTGCCCCTTTTAACATTAGCCTGCCTGCAGCTGTTTAAGATGTGATTAATCTGTTACCATTTGTAGGAGTTGTGGAAGAGCTCACCTTTTACCACTGATCAGCTCATGGTGAATTTGGGATACTGAATTTGTGGGATGACTCAGGTTTTCTTACACAGTAAAAGAGAGCATGTAAAAAACATGAGTTTGTAACAATGAAATTTTAGCAGATACAATTCTTACTGATTATATTACTTTAAAATTTGGGGTTTGACTTGTTTAAGTAATAAAGTAACCTCAGAAGGTCCACAAGGGTTAAAAGGCAGAACTGAGCAGTGGACAATGTTGTTTCATAGAAACTGCAGAGATTTCAAGAGGGTTTTAGTCCCTGTTTTGCACTGGAAGAAAACAAATTCTTTGTTATATTTTTTTTCCAAATACCTCTTTCTAGAAAGCATTCTGAATTATAAAATTTAGAAGGGAGTGTGTGAAATATCAATGGTGAACATGGGCAAGTGATCGAATCAGATCCAGAACACTTAATGCTGTGTTCTGCTTTGAATCAAATATATAAGCAAGGACTTGAACCTGGATCTACATTATGTTAAAACCAGATCAAACCCACAGCCCCATGCCCACTAAACTGTGAGAAAGCTTCTCGTCATCTTTTCTGCCTCCTTGGCAAAAAAAAAAAAAAAAAAAAAAAAAAAAATTACCCCCCCCCCCATCGTTGAGGCTCACACATTTCTGGGGGGAATAAAATTAAACCTTGAAATCCCATGGAAGTTTCATTGCAATTCAGTCAGCATTGGATTTAGGAAGAGAAGGAAGGGTGATCTGCATAAATCAATTCTAGTATTAGCCAAATATTTACCTGTAAATAAAAACTACTCTCTCTAATAACATTATATGAGCACATGATACAGTTTTATAACAGCTGATGAAAGAAACTAAGGCTTCAGTCACAAGAAAACATCTGGTTACTCCCACACATCTGCTTACAGCCATATACTGCAACTGCACTAAATGCAGAACAAATGAACAAACACATGTGTAGGAATAAGTGTAGGTTTGTAATTATTCCTCTGCCAAAAGTGTTGGAAAAGTACCAGTTGGTTTTCTGCTGGGGTGTTTTTGTTCATTTGTTGTTGGTTTTGTAGGGTTTTGTTTTGTTTTGTTTTTTTGTTGTTGTTTTTGTTCCCCCCCCCCCTTGCAGGAGGAGGAAAGAGGGCAGGGGGACACAAAAAAAATTTTCCAACCTTCAGCCTAAAATTTTCCTGAAGAGCTGTCAGAACACAGCAGCACCCCAGCACAGCAACATGTATGCAATTGGCTCTATTCCTCTGCAGAAAGACCAAATACAGTGACTCCCCAGGATAACAGATGCTATACAGCTTCTAACAGACAAATACACCTTCTGCATACTGAATTACATTTTACATTTATATGATATTTATTCAAAATGTATATATTGAGAATTTGTATCAAACCAACAAGTGTCTCCGATTCCTTATATAATCAAGACACATATATATTGCTCAGCACAGGAGTCAGTCCTGAAGAACGTAATGATGCCATGAATAATAGCATAGTCTTTCCCCAAGCTCTGCTCTTGACAGCCAGATTGCTTTTTTTTTTTTAATTATTTTTTACCTGAAAAATTTGGATTTATAAATATCTTTTAAAGATTATTTAAGAATTACCATCCCTTTCATTGCTGAAACAAAACAAAAATATGTCAAATAGGAAAAGTATTATAAATATATTAAAAACTGTTACTGTACCTCTCCATTAAAGAAGCAGAAAATTGTAGCCACCAGTAGACCCTGTAAAATAAAAATTAAAATACTCTGCTTTATTTCACATGCATGTGGATTTTTCCAGGTTTGAGATAAACAGAGGCTCCTAATAAAATTCAGATAGAGATAGCGAAGGAAATCTAAACTTGGTGAATTATTTTTAAAACCACGTTACTAAAAAGTATTGGGCCAGCTATCTACCATGATATTTCTTTCCTTTAGGAAATGAAAATTCAGCATAATGAGAAAGTTAAAGTCATTTATAAGAATATTGCATGAAAGTCTTTCGATATTAAAATAACACGATCATTTCTCTCTGATGTGCTTCACATGCCAACCGCTAGCTAGTTCCAGTGGGCAAAAACTGTTTAATGCTTCCTACCTGGTAATGCATAAGGATGTGCATCACGTAGTCATACACCTCCTCAGCGATCCGGCCTTCGGGCCGCCACGGGAACAGGACAAATTCAATGCCGAGCAGCGGAACCAGAATCAGGGTCGCTCTCACCGCTTTCATGTACAGGTTGGATTCTGCCTTGTGGGTGTCCTTCAGCTTGGTTATGAGAACACGAACGATATTTAGCAGGAAGAAAAGATTCACCTGTTGGAAGAGGAAATGACACTGAAGGTAGTCTGAAAAATGTTCCCACCCGCTGTTTCATGGTACTGAAAACCAGGCAACTCCGGAAAACTCATGCTACATGGATAACACTGGGATTGTACAATAAACATGAGTTACAACTCTTAGAAAACATCGTTCAGTAACTGAGATGTGGCTCTACCATCTAATATCCACATTCATTCCTCTAACTTATTAAGCAAGTGTCCATCCAGATAACTGTCAGTCTTCCAGTGTTAACAATCCACGCACCTTTCTCTTTGCTATCACAATTAACAGTACACCTGTGCATGACCAGGGGCTTTGACATGATTATGTCTTTTTAGGGTCATCAAGAAAGAGAATGACACTCTTCTCTCTTTGTATTTAAATATGGTTCTTCAAAAAGTGACTTTTTTTTTTTTTTTTTCAACTATGAATATCATATGTATAGAGAAGAAAAAAATCATTAAAAAAAAAAAAAGAAATTAAATTGCAGGCAAAATGCTGCTATGAGGAGCTGTATACTCCTGTAGACAAAGAGTAGATTTAACATTCTTACAGTGGCCAATGGTTGGATTTTTGATTCATTCAGCAGAACTGCAAATGGGGCAAGCACTGAGATGATGCTCTACATCATTCTCATGCACTACTGACCTTGATTATTTTCATAGCTATTAGGGCTTTTCTTGTTAACAGTGGTGTGTATCTGTTCATTCAGTTCCCCCACCCAAAATAATCCCAAACTGCAATCACAACTATGCAGACTGTATCTTCCAACATGTGAGCACTCAAGCGACCACAGAACTAATACACACACGCACGTACACATGTGCATACACACCCCCACACCAACGGGATGCGAGTAACCAGAACAGCAGCAATGATAGGGATGATTATACCATGTTTTCATCTATCGTGCAATAGTGGCAGCCCCTTATAGAAACCAGAGCTAGAAGAGACCTCGAGAGCTCAGCCAGTCCCGTCACCTTGCCCAGGGGCACAGAGGCAAGACAACGTTGCTTCGGGGACCCGCTATGGAAGGGACAGACCTGGAGTCTGGTCCCATCCTCTCAGCATGCAGACAGAAGACGCCCTCCTAAAAAGACTAGGAATTCCTGGCCTAGGGGGGAGGCCTCTGTCCTGCTGTGGGACAAGTGCAAACAGGGAATCCATTTCAGACCACGTGTGTCACCATGTCCTCTGCAATCCTGGCAGAATTCTTTCATGTCACTTAAGGTTTTCACTATAAACAGCTGTGCATTGTTATAGCAACAAGGCCCTTGACAGATATGTGATGTTATTTATATTCTGCTTACATGCTATTTAAATCATTTTAAACAGGAAATGGTTTTACATAGGAAACTAGTGCATGAATTTCTCCTGGAAGTCTCCAGCTACCTTTAAGCTTTGTTTAAGCAACCAAGGTCTTCTGATTCTTTCTCAAGGGATTTATTTTGGTTTTACACAGCCCACGATCCTCATCCAACTTCCTATAGTACACATAGACAATAAGTCCTTCCTCCACTTCTAAATTTAATCCTTCTCCAATCTACTAGTCCAACATTAACATGTCTCAAACACAGAGTTTTCAGCCCTTTCATGTTTTGGTAGCATGGCCAATTCCTATAACGCTATCTCTGAAAGCTAGCTGAAGGTGAAAGTGGCAGCAGCCAGGAATAAAATACCACCCAGCAAATTATTTCATTTAGAACATGCTGAAAGGCACAGAATTTTTCTAGTTGTTCCGTTTACCCACCAAAACCAAAAAAGCACAAAAATAAACACACAGAGTTTGCAAATAGATATTAGGGCAAACAAAAGATGACTGAGGCAAAGCAGAAGACAGAGTATGAGTATCAGTAAAGGTACGCAGCATCGATTTTTGATGTGTATCTCTTCTGTCACAAACACAGTGAGATCAGAATGAACCGAATTCTTAAAGTAATGAAAACAGGTCTTGACTTTAGCAAGGTAGTGAGTAGATTTTTACATTTAAGCAAAACTAGGCCAGTGGAACTACTCGTGTATCTATTCTCATCAAATTGACTGTGATGGTTTGTAAAGCCCCAAAGGAGTCCCACTGTGCTAGCTGCAGTATGAACACGTATTAAAATACTGGCAGCTCGACAGTGACCTGAAAAGTGAACCAGGCAAATGAACAAAAATGGAAACAAAGGCAGAGAAGACTGTTGGTTCCTATACTGGGAACTTAGTAGAATTGAGGTTCTGCCTTAAGAGCGGCTGTGAACTTGTGTCAGCTTAGAAGTCAATAGGTGCTGCAGTTCTTGAATTAAATGCTCCTCAGGTCCCTGATATTTCTACCTCTCTCCATGCTGAGTTTGTGCTGAGCAGTACGGTAGTCCTTATTACCATCTAGGTTTAAATTCCGTTTAAATTCCTCCTTAGGATGATGTAAACAGACCATTCTCAGCAAAGGAAACTCAGATATTCTTAGATACTAGCTGGTAGGCACTGCGTGACTTTTAATAAAGTTATGCAGCTTCACATCTTAGCCTGCTTGGGCAGAACACCTGTATGTGCTCATGAAGACAAGTTTTATACCTGGTCAGGGGACATTCCCAAGCCTAAGCACACGAATGCTAAGCCTTCAACTTCTAAGTTCCTAAGTCTTTTACTGAGTCCAGCCTGAAGTCATTAAATAGGTCAGTGATAAGGCTAGGAGCTCCTGAACTTCCTTCTAGTACACTTACTACTTCTGCTCAAAGAATTTACGTCTATAAAAGGCTGTCAGTCTAAGACACTAAGGCATAACATTATTATGGGGCAAAATAGACATCTCTGTAATATTATTTGTATAAATAATGGCATAACTAAATCAAAATCTACTCTTTCAGTGGCACCAATGCAAAATAAATCACTAGTGCATCTAAAATCTACACTGAAATCACTACTGCTTTCACTAAAGTTCAAATTCATTGCTTTTTTTTCCCCTCCTCCTTTTTGATCAATATTTGTCTAGTGTGAAAACAAACATCACCCTCTACTGTTTCATTCCCACACTGTTTCTTTAATTGTGGTTGCTTAGGCAAATGTTGTAATTAGATGGTCAACTGAAGAAAATTCCAATCAAAATGCAACTTATGTCTGCTCCCATTTCCAGTTTCTTTGGCAGGGATCTGACCGCAGTTATGTAATAACAGGGACCATAAAAGCAGCATTCTTGTTAGCTTTATGTAACTGTAGGGTTTTCAGTGATATACAAGAGTTAAATTCCTATTGACTTCTGCCAATTCTCCCTGGCACCCACTTGACAGACCTCTTGATCATCTTTGAGATCTTGCTCCTGCAAGTAGAAACAGTGTCTTCTCCCTTGCTATCTAATTTGCAGCTTAATATTGCTTCTTGAACGTCTACTAAAGCAGGTCATGCTTAGTAAAGTGTGGAAATTGTATCTGGCAAGCAAGTTGCTTAAGCAAATGAGGGTTCTGTTCACAAAGCCTCAACACATGCATTTCATCTAATGTCTTCATCCCTGGCTTGTCTTTGCTGAATTGACATATTACGTTTTTTTTTTTTTGTTAAAAGAAAGGAAAGCAACTCCTTTAAGGTACTTTCACATCACAGGCAAGCTGTGTAGTTGTGTTTAATCTTTGTTATTCCTACATGGTTTTCACATAAATTTTCTGACTGTACTGAGGCAAGAAAAATGCAAGAGAAACACCTTCAGTCAGCACATGAAAAATATAAGAATACCAAAGGTATACATATTTGTAAGCTGCAAAGAGAACGGGCAAAGAGTCTGCTGAAACCAACCACAGAGAGACAATTATTACGCCTCCTGTAAAATCAAAGGACATTCTTAGCGTTGCCTTGAATGGAAAGAAGACTTGACAGTTTGGGATTGATCCAGTACATTTGAAACTAGCAGGAGCCTTGCCACTGTTTTCAGTGTGACTTTGCGGAGGCCACTGCTGGGAAGGAGAAAATTATCTTACGTCCTAAAATGAGGTCATTTCATGGAAAATGGTACAGTCTCATAACTTTTACACAATTTTTTATGCTGTTATTTAAGCAAGTTCTGACTAACACAAATTGTGTTTCAGCTTTAAAGAGCTTTTCTTCAGTGATAAATCTGTGAAGAGACACCTGGACAAAGGAAGTAACAACCCACAAGGCAATGAAGAATAACATACATTTTCTGGGTGAAATACAGTACCACTGAAGTGAGAAAAAAAGCTACCCCTTTCTGTGAAATCAGGATTTCACCTTCCATGTAAATTAGAGAGAAGAAAAATTTAAAGGATTTAAAACTGGTTTTAAGCTTACATATTAAAGCACTAGTTAAAATGCCTTTACATGAACATATAATGGCAGACCTGAGTAACAGGTCAAGAGACTACCAGTAATCATTCACACCCCAAGAGCCATGGATCTCAGTTATTTCATGGGGACTGCCTCTGACTTCCCATGCAGAGGACGGACCTCAGGAGTGTCATGCTCTCAACACAGTCTTCAAAATATAAATTCACCAGCTAATTTCACTGTGAATGAAAATGGGAGTCACATCTATTCTCTATGCACAGCATGCCCTCTGCAAGTATTTATTAACGATTTAACAGAGGAGGAGGAAGTTCATGTAGATCAGAAACTGGAATTATTTCCAAAAAGTTACTGAATGTTTTCATTCCTAATGAATTTCCTTGCATGAACTGAAAAGCCATAAGAACATTCAGCAGACATATACAATACTTTCGCCATATCAGCCTGAAGTTTCTGTTACAATAAGAGATGACTTTAGTATATAGTTAGCAGCTAATCCTGGTCACAAATAGGATGCCTCTATACTGCAGCATTCTCTGCATTATCCATTCATAGATATTAAGTAGATGGTTGTGTAAGTAGGTACATATTACTATTTCCTTTTACTATGCAATAATCTACTGACTGAATGGTATAGATTGAATTCAGTCCTGGTATAACTGCAGTACAACAGTGATTTTTATACAGTGGTGTCTTCAGTTATTTACCTAGGACTTAATGTCTGCAACAGAGCTGGCATTAACTTGGAGTGCAAGACCGAACACGGCACTCTAAGAGTTCACGAGGACTCCTGAAGCAGAGGAGTTGCAATGCCCCCTGTGGCCAAAGCCCCACTCCTAGATTAGTACCAGAACAGGGGCAGTCACAGACACTTGCAGAAATGTTTCCACTGGTTCTTCCCCTGCTCTAGTTTCTCTCCATCCTGTATTCCCACCCACAGGGACTCTCACTCCTGATATTCAGGTGCCCTCTTTCTGAACCTCGGTGAGGTCCAGTTTGGGAGCTCTTTGGCCACGTTAGCACAGTGACAGAATGATCCTCGTAGTAGGGTCAACCTGGCAAATGGCCTGGGCAGTGAGAAAACATTCTCAGCTAAAGGAGGGATTTGAACATGGCCCTCCAGTACTCCAGGAAATATTTAGTCCCTCCTTGTTACTAGCATTTAAGTGGAATGATAATCAACATTGCAAAACGTGGGTTTCTCAAAGGACCAGGGGTACAGCTCATTAATAAAGCCAAGACTTGTGTATCTTATGTGTCTAAGGCACCTACTAATTTAGGCAGAGTCCTGCAAAAGACAGTGACCTCTAAATGTTAGATTTAGACTCTTACCAACTATGTAAGGTCGTGAAGAGCAGTCAGAAAGCAAATAATAAATTGTTATCTGAAAAATGCCTACCAGCAGAGCAGCACAAATAGGGCCATGGATGATGTACAGCAGATGAGTATCAGAGCTGATCCAACAACTAGAGAAAACAAACAGGAAAAGAAAAAAACATTTGGCATTTTATTATCTGTTTTAGTCTTTTTTTTTTCTTTTAAAGAAAATATAACAGTTTTGCAAAGCAAGTTGAGATGCTACATACTTGTCATTATAATATAAACTTCTTGCAACGGCATGTATGCAGGCAGGGATCAGTGGAAAACCTGTGAAGAAAAAACAGTGTTGTCTTCATACATCAACCTGGCTAATAACTAAGCAAACGTGCATCTCTTGTAGGAATCATCTGTATTTTCACCTCAACCAAATTATATACCTGCATAGCAAAAAAAGTAACAGGGACCATTTCCTTTTCTATTTTCTCAGATTTCTTTCTGAGCGCTGTATGCAACCTTATTCACACTATCTTGCCATAAAATCCATGCCAACACACATTAAAAAAAAGGCAAATCAAATTATAAGTTTTCAGAACACAACAATCAGTCAACACACATGTTTTTCAGACTGCAATCTGCAAGAACACTAAATAGGTAGGCGATATTAAAAGGGTAATGGTATATATGACCATAGCTTTCACAGTATGATTAACCGTGTTGATCACGTCCTCACTGATACTTGCCAGGCATTCAGAAAGCAAGGTTACTTGCAAAACAAAACTCTGAAAATCAAAATTAAAAAAAAAACCCAAGCAAATTAGTTATCTGGGGTCCATGACACTCTGGTGGTACCTAATTTTCAGAAGCTGTGCTGAGCACCTGTGATCTTGTAACCACATCTCAGCTGTGTCCACAGTGGGACAACTAGTGACCCAGGTACCGAGTCACATTACAACTGAATGTGCCCATACACTGAAGCTGAGGAGAAATCCCTCACTTGTACTTTGTGAATGTGCTGTTGTGCATTATCTGAGATGACCAGGTTTGCCTTGTTAGTTTTCACACTGATATTACTCGAGATCTTCAGCTACAGCTATTCTGTATTTGCTTAGTGAACAATACAGGTCAAATGGAACTGTTGGAAAAATAAATCCTTGGCCATCTCTAACTCAGTTCTGACCCTCCACCCTAGACATGGCGAGACTTCTCTGAAAACAAACATTCATTCCTGAATAAACATCTTCGATATGAGGAACAATGAATAATTACTTCTTAATGTCTTTTTTATAATAGGAAACTATTTTCTCTATACAAAGGAGGAGTCGCTTCCTGACTCCAGGAATGCATAATCTCTTTCAGTAAAGATAGAGGTACATACAACTTCCTACGCTAATATTTCTAAGCCTGTTAAAACACTACAGACAAAGAAGAGGGGTGTGTCATCGTTGTTCAAAGCTACCAGCTCAGAGAAGCAAAGGTACAGATGTTCAAATTCTCATGAAAAAGAGGAAGAGATTGCATTGGCCTGAAAATACAGAACATGAAATTGCATACCCCAGCCAAGAAGGTAATACCACATCAAGTGTTGTTTCTCAGCAAAAACAGCCACCACAATGAGAGTATGCAGGTAAATGCCTTCACACAGCATCCAAAAGTAGTTGCAACCCATTAGGTACAGGTAGATGAACTGTGACACTTTGCAGCTAACCTGCCAAAAAAAAAAACAGAGTACAGTGTAAGTTTTTAAACTGCAAAAATCTCAGAGCTTTGTTTGCAAAATGGAAAAAAATACTGCTTGAGTCAAATGTTAATATTTAGTATGCTTTTCACTACAATTACATTATTATTTTAATAGAATTTTCATGGAATTACAATTCCATACTTCATGGTGACAAAAAAGTTGGTAATTGAATCTGTGTTGATTATTCAAACATGAGGACCTCAAGATCCTCAAGCATGATGGCAGAAAGCTGTAACATTTTCCCTTATTGCACACATTGCCACATTTGACCATTCCAATCAATAGGGGATCCTTAAATTCTCTGATGGTAACCACACGAGAAAATGTATTTTGATGAGTGTAATTCCCTCTCAGTTTTACCAATCCTAACATACAACTACTCCAGAGAATGATTCATGTTTTTAAAATGCTTACAATTCTTCCAAATTTAACCTAGTCATAACTGCACTTAGGGCCAGTTGAGAACTTGGATAGTAGGTTCTGGAAGGAAACCCTCTTATTAGCATATATTTGTATTTAGCTTAATTCAAAAGATATTCTTCAATGGAAATAACTTATCGTGAAGAATAAAACGTGAGGTTGTGAATAAGGAGCAATAGTTAACTTCCAGATTTGGACACAGTAGATCCTTTTTTCTTTTCTCCTTCTGAAACTGATGTGTGTTTGATTGATCTATTTCTGGCACTCAGCCTAAAACAAACCAAAAATCAATATTGTTTTACCATCTTCTGCTACCTAACTCACTTGATGATGATTATTAGCAGCTATCTGAAGCCTGTTTTCCAGCACCTTGATGAGCTTTTACAGGAAAAAGAGAATTTATATTTTTACTTGGGTCAGATTCAGCTTCTGGAGCTTTGCCCTAACTTTCACAGAATTTATATTTATCATTCAGGTCTAAATAAAATTAAAGTCGTAGTTAGGGATTTGTTTGTTTATGCATTTCATTTTCAGGATCTTCTGTTGCTATAACTCCTAGCCTTTTGGGAGAGGCTACTGATTCATACTTACCCCAGTATTATCAGAAAATAAGAGAGAAAAATCAGACCTCAATGAAGAGCTTTTTTATTTTGCTTTTTACTTTTGGAATATTAAGGATGAGATTTATCTCCTTTCACCAAGAAAGAAGAAAAAAAAAAATTAATTCTTCTGGTTTCAACTGAAGATGTCAAAGTTAAAGCCATAGGAAAGTAGGAAAGCAACTGACAGATCCAACATACATTGCAAAGCTTTTTTTTTTACTACCCATCCTTGGTGAATTCAATTGCCATAACCTCACTGACATTATCTAGAATAGGCTACTTTTTTTGCACTTCTTTCAGCACAAAAGTGATTTGTAGAAATTCAGAAGAGCAGTTCAGTATGCTCCATCTCTTAGAGCGCTTTTACTATTTCAAAACCTTAATTGTGAAATGCCCAAATCACTGTTAGACATCTGTTGTAACATCTATACATCGTTACTGAACATTTTAACCTTGCTATATACAACATTTCATCTGCTATTCATGTCTCATCTCTTCTGCATTGCTGAAGTTTTTCACATACAAATCAACAAGGCTGCCAAACATACTTTCACTTACTGGATTAGTTGCAACTAACTCCTGATTGTTGGCAACTGCGGTCAGTGAAATTATTGTTACAACAGAGTTGCAAACAAAAGAGAAAAATAGATTTTTGTGAAGGGTAATCCTTTGGCAACTCAAGCTCCTAGAAAAGAGAAACAAGAACAAATTAATACATAGAGGGACAACTATGTGTACTTGGGAACAAATCTGAAATTTTGAAATACTAGAGTTCTTTATTTTATTAAGAAGTCTTACATCAACTCTTTCTTCAGCTCCAGTACAAATATAATAGAATGATGTGAAAGGTAACACCTTCCCTTAACCACCAACAGGAGGCAAAGCAAGTACATTCCATTCCAATATGTTTACAGTGAAGGACCTGCTTTGTGGTGGCTATCTAAAGATTTGAATAGAGATAATATAACACGTTTCAGAAGATTTATACCTTTATTTTTTGTTAGTACCTGAAGAATTTCCCAATTAACTATCATACCTGAGCTTGAATTAGCTGTCTTAGCCTACATCTCCATTTACCTAAATCTATTAAGATTTAAGGATAACTCTCTTTTACTCACATTCTTGTAATTTTTTTTCCTTAATCCGATAGCTAGAGAAATACCCAAATAAGTAAAATAATGCAAATCTTACCTTGACTTTTGCACATAACTGAGTTATAAACTGTATATAGGATAAAATTATAAAATGCAATATGTAACTGCATTTAATGGTGTTAATTTTCAAAGTTTGCTTTTAATCTTGCCATAAAATTATAGATAAAGATATCCTTCGAAGGGTTTTTTTTAAAAAACAAACAAAAAAAAAAAACAAAACAAAACCAACAAACCAGAAGTCGAATAATATGAAACAATACTAGTTGAACATAGTTGCAGCAACTTTCTTTTTATCTGCCATTCTAGAGAAATCAGGTCTAACTTAGTGATATTCCAAGAGGCAGGAGCGTTTCTCATTCCTGTTTTTTCAAAGAAATTCAGCTACGCAGACAAACACAAAAGAGGATAGAAAGCATATATGGACATAGAAATAATTCAGATCATTGGGATATTAAATCTTAACGCTCAAGATGCCCAAAAGAGCAAGTAACATCCATTTTGTTGTGAAAGCAGATGATCAGTTTACAAAGCTGGGTAAAAACGACCCTTTTAGATTTAAGAGAGGGGGCGCGCAGCACAGAGGAGCAAAGCGACTCAAGGGGTGTCATACAGCAGGTCGGTGCGGGCAGGCAAGGACAGGGCCCGGTGTGGCGGGGTGAGCACTGCCCGGAGAAACGTCTCCCACACGCAGAGAGAAGCGAGAAAGACCCTGGTACTGAGGGCACGCTCGGGAAATGCTCTTTGGTTACGTCGGAGAAGGCGTCCAGCGAAGCCTCTGCTGTAAGGAGCCCCCCGTGCCCTACAGCCGCCCCCACCTCCCGCCCTTTCGTAGCCAGCAACGGGGAGCTGGCAAAATGAAACGACTCACGGGAGGAGGAAAATCTATCACTTACACACGGAACTGCTCTTCACTGTTAGGGAAATCAGAAATATGTTGACAAGGTCATCAGGGGACAAGTCTAAATTGTCACACAGGGGAAAAAAAAAAAAATTAAAAAAAAAAAATCAAGCTTGATAGCCTTTTCAAATAGCATTCATGGAAGAAAAGATAAAGTATGGACACTGGTGATTCATTTTCAATTTGGGAGAGCGGGAGGGAGAACTTTGTATTTCAGCAGAGAAATACAGATATGGAATAGTCACAAAAGCTGGAGGAGTCTACTGAAAACTGTTGAGAATGTGACAGATGAAACAAGAAGCAAGAAGACCCCATGGAACAAAAGAGACAGTAAAAAAAAAAAAAATAAAAAACAAAACAAAACAAAACTGGAGACTGCACTTCTTGATCACATTTTTTACAACTATCACAAGAAGAGTGTTTGAAGCCCCCCACAGACAGATGGAGCAAGTTAACAGATTCAGATACGCACGCTGCAATACCATGAATCAGGCAGAGTTTCTGCACATCAAGCCCTGAAGCCCCGAGACGCCCTAAGCCTCATGGCACAAGGAAGCCACTCTAGAAACCAGTGCTGCCACGCAGCACAAGGAACTACCCCACATGAACCTCTGGCTGTCAAGTGTTACTTGCATGAAGAAAACAGAAAAGAGAAAGTGTCCAAAATACAGAACACAGGTTTGTATATGAATGAAGGTATATAATATATTCCATTAGGCTTTTTTAAAAATTTATTTTTGTCTTTCGTTGTGATGCCCAAAATGCATAAAGCTTTGATTATTATAATATGTGGGGGTTTATGTTCTTTGAAAAAGTATTTTAGTATTTTTATATGTTTTGGTATGGCTTTTTCCCTATATGGTTTACATATGAAAAGAGAGGCAACACCAGCTATCAGCTAGCGGCTGTGTATAAACAAGTTCTGAAGAACTGAGGAATTCTGTCTGCTTATTGTTAAGATTCAATGCACAGGCAAGGAAAAGCACGTACAGCTAATGGGGCCATCTCTCAGGGTCATCCAGCAGCTGTTCCCGTTGAATATTCAAACACACCCATCCACACCCACCTCCACCCATGCATAAAAGGATTGAAAGGATCACCGGACAAGAAACAAGAAAGCAAGACTGATGACATTTAAAAATGAAGACTGCTTTTGGTAATAAATGGATTTTTTCCTAAGCCTCCCCACCCTCCCTCTTCTGTTACCCTTCCTATATTCCTTTTTCTGCTGTTTTCCTTAATGACCTAATATCCTTTAATCACTTAATTCTCATCATTATGATCTAAGAACATTTGAATGACCTACCCCTGCATTAAACTATGTGCAATAAAATAGAAACAGACCTCCTGCTAAATTACCTATTTCCCTTCCTATTTTGACTCCTGTATGTCTTGTCCATTCGGGAAAAAGTCATTAGTCCAATATTTCTCAAAAAGAAAAGAAGGTAACATTTTCAAAAGCCCCCAGAGGTGTTTGAGATCTAATTTTTTAAGGTATTCAAATACTGCAAAATTCAACCAATGCATATACATATACGCCTGCATATACACCTAAGGGGAATTATCTGTTCAGCTGAAATTAAGTTGAAGTGACTTGGGAACCTCCTTCCTCTCTATCAACCCATCATTCAGCTGTCTGCCCACTCTTTAGGCGTAGCGTTGCTATCCTCCATGAGCTCTGTCCTGTGGTTTGACATGACATTTGATCAACAACTCCTCCTTTATTTCAGGTGGGGTTTTCTGTTTGTTTCAGGTTTTGTTTGTGTTGAGGGGGTATATTTCAAATTATAGCTCCTCTTTCTCTGTTTTTCTTAAGTTTTCTCCTGTGTTGCTTTTATTTCTTTATGAAAACCATGTAACTATTTTAACATATGATTTATAATAAACACATGTATGATCTAGCGGACGTAACAGAACAAGAAAGCAGAGCCACTGCAAAATGTTACTTTTATGTATCACGGATGAATTTTCAGAGGGGAAGATTGAAGTTCCAAGTTTATAGCACATTTTATGTTATTAAACCAAGAACTCTAATTCACTTGGGGAACTCAAGTCACAAAACAGACAAATATTTCCAATGAGACAATTTCCTGAAGAAAAAGCAGAATTTCAAATGAAAAAATAAAATGCACAAAACCATTTTAATCTCAAAAAAAAAAACCCAAAACAACAAAAAAAAAACCCTCATTCAAACCTCCAAAATATTTTATATTTGGAAAACAAACAAACAAAACAAAACACCCCACCAACCCCCCCCCCCAAAAAAAACTCTGTCATTTTTCCTATGGAGAAAAGTGCCACCTTTCTAGTCAAACCTAAAGATATTCCAGTGGTTAGCAATCCAGCAAACGTCATCTGGAAACTATCAATCGACTAAGAGAATAAATTTTTTGGAAACATGACAAATCCAAAAGGCACCCCCACACAATAGCAAAAAAAAAAAAAAAAGTCCACCTGTTAAAGCTATGAATAATTATACAAGCTTCAGCCGATACATAATACATCCTGGTATTAATCTAGATCCTTAAATATCCTTCTGGTACTAAAAATACTTTAGAGGAACTGTACATCCCAAGAGAACAGCTTGTAAAGGACTTTCTTTAGCTTCCTTTAAATTCTGTAATTTCCTTTTATATCCCAACATAACCACAGTCTAGAAATGTATTTTGTGGGTCTGGATTAATTCCATGTGGTTCTCAGAGGAGAGATGATGCTTCTACCAGAGGGAGAAATAAAATCCCTCGAGGGTTAGACAAACATGGCATAGTTGTAACAGTAGCAAAGCAGATCACCGGTGCTTGCAGCAAGTACCACAAGCCAGGATGAAACTGGCTTGGTTTTCATATTACAGTTCAGAACAATCATGCCTTACTGTCTTTTAACTTTTAAAATAATATCATATTCCAAATATTTTTGCTTTCTCCCAAGAAGTCTATGTCAAAGCATTTTTCCTGGCACATTAGGTATTTATTCTGTCACACTTTTTGTGACGTTTATAGTAACAGTATAGCCCTTTTTTATGGGAAATCAAGTTTCTTATAAAAACTCAGAGCCATTTCACATGTTGATTTTGTGGAGGATAAGTGAATTTGGAAATGGTGAGCATTGTTTTTACAGGTCATGTGCAAATAAATTGATTAAAACACACTAATGTTTTTGTTTGTCCTCATGAAAAGAAGTCAGAAAAAGCTGAAAAGCCACCCTGAATACTGGATTTCCCAAAGAGACGTTACCAAGTTGAAACACTCTAGTTTGTTAGGGATTTGTGGAAATGTTATCCCAGAACCTGGGGAAATAATGCATATCTAAACTGGAAGCACTGTATTCAATCAGATGTGACTAAAGATGATATATTTTTTTTTTAACAGATATGTACTACCCCTACCTAATCAAAGCCCAGAGCATGAGAAAAGCAAAATCTGAGCTAGTCCAACAGCTGCTGGTGTATGTTTTATTCGTATTTAAATGTTTGGAAAAAAATAACAGATGGAGTGAGGCAGTAGGGCATAGCGGTAAGAAACAGGTAAGACCATAGAACAGTTGTGTATTATCCCATGAAAAGTAACGCCAAAATGATTGAACTAGTGCCAGTGAACAAGGAAAGCCCACACTGTGCAGTCGGCACTTGACAGAGATAACAACTCGTGCCTTGGCTCTGCTCATGTGGCAACTCTCCTGGTTTCACCTTCCTACTAAGCCTCATCAACGTCTTAAAAAGTCTTTCATAGGAAAGAAAAATAAGTTCATAAAATTTGCAGTAATAAAGTGACTAATTTTAAAAGACCTGTGCGTTATATTACGAGTTGTTGTGACAGCAGTGATACACTGCTCAAGCTTTCTTTAAAGAAGGTAACATAAGAACTGTTAGTCAGTGGATATGATATAACTGTCATAGACATAATATGGTGAATAAAAAAAAAAAAAACAGGATTATTTTTATTATTCCCATTCCTACTGTAGCTCTTAGCCTTACCTTCTTTACAGTTTACCGTATTTTGTGGCTACCCACTTTGGAATGCCACTGTACCTATCATGTCATCAGCATTTTGGTTTCCATTTGCTCTTTAGTTTGGTTGCTGACTGGCATATGCACACTGTAATTTATTATTAAAAACAAAGCAAAACAAAACTAACAAACAAAAACCAAACAAAACACCCCCCACAAAACCACAAACCCCAAACAAACAAAGGAACAACTTTCCCATTTTTCCAATTCCTATTTTCAATATACTCTACAGTCCTTGGTTTCAGATTTGGGATTTTAGGTTTCTTTTCTCAGAAACCTAAAATTTCATTACAATATAATGTCCAGTGCCAAACTTTCCTCACCTTCTTGCTCCATCTAATTTCTTTGGGATGGCTGGTGTTTCAAAGTATTGAAACTATGATTGTTGTAACCACTGCTATTTGGTAAAGGATTTTAAATATACTTACTTAAAATAAAAGAATATGCCAAGAGAAATCAGAAGTGATGCAATTGAAAGACCATGTCCGATGATGGCCAAGTAATACAAATTCAGAGCAGTCTGCAATAAAAGAACAAAAGCAAGCACCTGTGATGCATACAGAACTATTGTTGATAAAGCACATACTTATACATCCCTTCTGCATGTAAAATGACTCTAATAGGATGAAGAAAATAAAAACATTACAGATGTATCAAGTCTAGAATCCTGCAAATCAACATCTTACTAAAATCTTTCTGTAGGACAGAACAGACTTGTTGAAATCATCACCAGAACTTACCTACGTTATCTTACCCACCTTCCCAGCAAAGTGAAAAGATAATGTTGTTTAATATAACAACACACAGAAGTGTAGCAAGGAGTAAGGCTTATCTTTGGAGCTATTATTCCATTTAAACAATAGCTTCAGATGCATGACAGAGTTGAAATATGCTGGCAAAACAGCCTGAGGGAAACTAACTCATTATTCATAAAGAGGGACCTGCCTGGATCTGCTCCTGTCTGAGTAATATTCTCTCAGTTTCCAGCCAAATATTAAGAAGAATCAATGAATTATAGCATCTCTGCTAGTAGAATTAAACTGCTATTACTGTATTCAGTGTCTCATGACAGCAGTACAAAAGTGCCTTATTATCATCTATTACCACATCTTCTCGATATGGTTTCTAGGTAAATACCCTAATGCACTCTGACAGCAATGATGCAGGCAGTTAGGATCTCTACTAGATGTCACTATTCTTGACATAATCTGCTATTATGGTGCTCTTTTCCATGGGGACTAAATTGATTCACAGTCTATCCCGATCTGTGTTTTATATTCCTAGTTCTTGGGCATTTACATATTCAATTTACTCCTCTTTCCCACAACTGAATGTTTCATAACTGTAAGGAATAATAGTGGACATACAGTTGCGGGGAGAGGGGGGGCAGGGAAGAAGTAGGAGGCAAAATATGCAATTTTTCCCAATATATCCTTACATATCACAGAGTATCCAAGAGAGGGCATTTGGAGATTTACAAGATTTAAATTTTATTTTTAAAAATCTGTTAATGTATGGACATCTTCAAGATAAACTGAAGTCTATAAAAAAAAGACATATATACATATACCCACATGGGTATGTGTGTGCACAGTCTACCTTTGATATATAGAGATATATCTCAGTATCTATTTATATATCAAGATATATTTTATATATATATATATATATATATATATATATATATTAAAAAAACCCAAACATCCAAACTCTGCTTAAAGCTGCCTTGAAGATGCAGCAATCCCAAGCAAAACTTTGGTTGTGCACCTGCTGAAAATCTGTCACTATGAGTTAATTGGATAGACCCGTGCACTCAGCGCATCTTCCAGGAACATGCAAACCTTCTGCCATTCTGCTGAACAGGGACCCTACTTCAAAATTACAGGGCAAAACATAAAGGTCTGCTCTTATAAGGCATACACTTTGCTTACCAGTAGATGACTGTAGATGACTTAGACAAGTACTGGTACCTACACATTTAAAATACCCATAAACGAAAATATGATCATATTATTCAAGCAGTTGAAATTAACTGTAAAAGACAAAGCAGGTGGGTTGGGTTTTTCTGAGTCTGTTTTGCACAATTCATCCTCTTTATTCCACATGCTTTCTTCTTTTGTCATTTTGATCTTCCATCAACTCTGCTGCCATCCGAGTTTTGAAACTTACGACATTTTTCAGGTAAGTTTCTTGACATTGCTTACTGCATTCATTCCTTTCCTACCTTCACTTTTTCATGCGTATAGATATTACACTGGGTATAGTTTGTCCACGTCCTGTTGCTTTCTGGGTGTCTAAACCAATTCCCACTTGGATCACAGATCTTCGTAACTTTTTCTACAAAGTAAACGGAAAGAAAAACAATAGAAAAACACAACAGTCAGCACTGAAATTCTATTTCCTGATGCCTAGTATTTAACAAAGAAAGATTGGCAAATAAATAACAGCTTTATTAATATGACTAGAGAGACATTGCTTGTTACTATGAATTCTGAGAAACTTGAGGCCATTGCCTTTGCTTGGCAAGGGCAACTGATGATTTGTTTTTCTTAAGAAAACAAATAGACTTCTCACCTCCAATCCAGTAAGTATCAAAATATATCAAACTAACTGTTAAAGAACTACCAAATGAAGTTACAAGAATATTTAAAAGGCTTGTTTAACATCCACTATCTAAACTGGAGTCTGACATCCTACCACTGTAAATTAGGATTAGACAGACAGGAAAACATAAAGAAACTGCTCAAGAACCAAACTGGAAAATTTCTGGGACCACACAATGATTTCTATTGTCAAATAGAGGCATGAAAGGACCCTGGGAAGTAACAAATGAAGCAGAGACAGGAGTGGAAGTCTATGACATTTTCCGCGTGCTCATAGATACCAAGTGTAGCCTACAGCAATGGGAAAATATTCACTTGTGGGAGAAACTCTTGTCACCTTCAACTGCTAAAATGAGGTAAAATATTGAGTCATATTTCTGTTGGTCTGTCAGAGAGAAAAATCTCATCTCTAAGAGGAAAACATTGTAATCTAACTTCAATTTCTATTTCTTAATCTACAGAATCCCTCAATGACTTATTTCAGGAAAAAAAAAAAATAAGTAACTTGCTAGTTTTCCATGTTGATAAAGGGAAAATGCAAATAATGGGTTTGGAGTTGCTGGAATTCTGGAGCATTAGTGACTTGAGTGGAGCAAACACAAGGCATCAAGCACCCAAAACCTCATTTTATTAAGAAATAGGTTGATGCAGAAGCCCACGCACACTTACCGGACGGGTTGAAATCCTGAAAGTAGTCAGGACAACGCTGTACTGACACAGTTCCGGCAGCAACGTCACTCCAGCACAACCAGCCATCCCATGTCCTGTTACAGTAAGGACCTGCAACCAAGTAGAGACCAGTTAATAAAGTAACAACCCTTCTTTCATAACAGTCTTTCAAAAGTAAGAAGTCAGACTGCATAAGGCAGGTTTCTCATTTGCAGTGATGACAACAAAAGAAAACAGAAACATAATATTTATCAGCAGTTAATTAAAACTCTACTTAATAGAAATAGTTCCTTACATGTACATTTCCTCAAACACATTTTAAAATCCATCATTGTTCAGCTTGAAATGGTCTGCACCTACAATTTACAAACCTCACTGAAAACACGGTGGTACCCTAGAAGCTGTCAGAAAGCCTGGCTGGGAGGCAGCCACAGCTCCCCTGCCTCAGGCAGGGCTGAGCCTGCAGCCGTCGTGGTGGACAGACATGTCTGTAAGTGCTCCAGGGACAGGGGATCCCCAGTGACCCCCCAAAAGCCTGTTCCAATGCCTCATTGCACTCACACAAATTTTAACATCTAAAATAAGCCTCCTTTGAGAATGAGCTGGGGTTTTATAAACAAATCCTTTCCCAAATGGCATGCAGAATGACTGACCCTCTCTACATATTTGAAGAAGTTTTCAGTATCTTCCTTTGGTTTTCTTTTTAAGAGTTACTAATGCCCCCCATCTCAGAGGCTGCATTTTTCAAACATCATGTATTGCTTCTTCATCTGAAGATTCTTCAATTTGTCTAGATCCTTCTGGAGCTGTGATGCCCCAGGCTGGACATAAGCTTACACTGTCATATCCATTTCTGACCTCCTGACATTCAGTTCCTCCAAAGAATCATTTCAGAATAGAAAAAAAACTCATTATAAAAGAATACAAAAACCTCTTCTTGCCTCAAAAAGCCATTCAGTGTTTCCAGAAGTTATAAAGTCAGAAACAGTGAATACAGTGACAGGTAGAGTTACCGAGTTTAGCACTGAATGACTTGTCAGAAAAAGCATTAATGTCACTAACACAACCCTCAGAGCAGCGAAATTATGTGTATCAAGGTACTTGCAATTTTTGAAGGCATATGTGACCAGGGAGACAGAGGTATTTTAACAGCATGAAATGAAATAAAGTGGTTAGAGTAATCAGTCATCATTTTTTAGTAATTTAAATTAACATCTTCTTATCTCATCAGAAATAAAAGCTTAGGTAAGAAGTGGTGATATGAGTAAGTAATATAACATTACTTCATCTTCATGAATCTCAAAGTGATGTTTTTAAAAAACTGTACAAATACAGCCTGAAAAATTATTGCTATCAAGATAATAAATTAATGTAACTAAAGGATCCTGAACTACTGTAATTATACATGTTGACCATTTGCCTTTGTAAAACCTGATAAGAAAATAATCTCTACCTTCTTTCCTATGAATAGGATCTTGCATAATTTTCTGGTAGCATTCATACTGTGCTGTCATAATTTTATTCCGTGTAACGCTCAGTTGAGTCAAGTCCTCCGTCATGTTCTGATGCCCTTCAGATGGTATAGCAGTGGCAAAAAACTAAGAGGGAAAGTAGAAAGTCATATACAAACTCCAATATAAATTTATCAAACATTAATATTTTTAAATACTGTATTCTAAATATTATTTTACTGTAGGAAAATGATCTTCAAATCTTATTACCAACAATATGCTTTTTCATTTTTCTGAATATTTTAGCAATTCTTCTTACTAACGAATCTTGATAAGTATCTCTCCTCAATGTGCATGGAGGACTAAACTTCATGGAAAAACAAAGCTACAGATTGAAATACTGTACCACAGCCATACAATAGGCGAAATTAAAAGTTCTGAGGATGTCCTCTGAACCCAAGTTAGATGTCTCCACTCTTCCTGGGCTCTGCATAGTACTGCTTATATGGCACTTGTCGAGTATTACCATAAAGTTCTTTGCTAGTAGAGGATATGCTGGGTTCAGCAGAAGTAAATACTATTTCTGTTCTTTTACCGCAGGAATTAAAAGGAGAACAGAAGGTAGATAAAGATCCTGCTGTGCAGAAACTACTTTTAAACATAAGATTAGTTGTTTCTGCATTTTGATATTAATACTTTCTATGGTATTGTGTACACATTTGTTAACACTGGAAGTTATTAAAAAAAAAAAAATGGTAAGACTCACCATAGTAACTGATAAGAAGAACAGCAAAAATGTGAACCACTTCTTTGTCATTTTTATATCTGGTGCAGTGATTTTTATACCGTAATTGAATGAACTCAAACTGCAATGGAAACAAAAAAAAAAAAAAGTAGGAAGAAATTTAGTAATTCATGAAAGCCAAAACTGATAAAAGACTTCATATTTTCTTTCTGAATTAAAACAAGTCAATGGAGATCCTCTCAATTTTTATTCACGTATAATGATGCCACATGATATACATGGAGATGTACAATATAATGTGAAAAAAATGCACTCAATTTACCAGCAGCGAATTCCAGCAGCAGGGTTTTTCCTGCACTGCTGCCTCTATTGCCTCAACTAACACCAGTTCTCCAGAGAGTTTGTCTCGGTCAGGTAGCTGGTATCAACTCCAACAGACATGTTCAACTAGACTTAGACTTACACACACACACACACGGTTATTTCCTGTTCTCTTCACACCACCTGATATTTTGATTTTTGCCATTTCTGGAAGAAATCATCTAATAAGCAGCCACTTTATCTTGAAGTTACAACTTTGCAAGGATGACAATGGCAATGCAAGAATTAATTGTGCCCTATAAAATAGTTTCTGTATCTGCAGTAGCTGTAAACTAGTTACTGTATCTGCAGTTTGAAAAAAAACAGAACTATCCAAACCAGCAATAATTATTTTACAGTGCAGACTATTCTTGGAACTCATTCTTGAAGTGTAAAATGCACCTAAAACATATTTAAGCACCTAGATCATCTATTAAGCATAACCCTGCTGTGACAACTGCTTCAAAAGGAAGGGAAATGTTAAAGAGATTTCTCATAATGTATTTCACTGTGTCCTCAAGTATCCTAAGAAGATCACAAAGATGAGCGTAGAATTGAGATAAGATCTTCTCTTCTGCTTGCATGGTAGCAAAAAGGCCTCTCCGCAAAAGACCTCTGATGATCAAAGGACTGGGCAGCTGCCATATGAGGGAAGGCTGAGAGTCACATGGAAAAGATGAGGCATAATGAGTACAAGTTACTCCTGGGGAGATTCCGATTCAACACAAGAGGAAAATTTTTCACAGTGAGAACAATCAGCCACTGGCATGATCTGCCCAGGGAAGCGGTGAACTCCCCAACACCAGACACTTTTAAGATTCAGCTGGACAGCATGCTGGGCCATCTTGTCTAGACCATGCTTTTGCCAAGAAAGGTTGGACCAGATGATTCTTCAGGTCCCTTCAACCTGGCATTCTATGAATTAATTTAATTTATTACAACTAAACCACCTTTTAAAACCTCAGTATCTTGATGTACTAGCATTATTGAAGCTATTATCAGCCATAATAAAAGGGATCACATCTAAGTGAGCTTAGATCGCTTGTACAGATTAATTCACTACAAATAATATACTGCTACTTCAGACATAAAACTCACTTTGAGCAAAAGTCCCTCATATATTTTGCTCAAAATATATGCTCAGATATAAAACTCACTTTGACCAAAGGTCCCTCATATATTTTGCTCAAAGTTCCCACTGCTACCGAGCCAAGAGGGCTGCAGGGAGCAGAGTACCTACACGCCAACCTGTCTCCCGACCCACACCACATGCTCCTTTGGATCACACTTGCTCTTGTATTTGGAAGTTTTTCTTATCCAGCAGTCACATCCTATGAGACACTGATGGATGATAAACAACTGATAGTACACCAGCCAGCAGAGGTAATTTTACAAAAAGATTGTCCTTTAAAAAAAAAAACCAAACCCTGTCCTAGTTACAAAACGCAAGCATTCCGTATCTACTGTTCTGCCTTTACACTGAGACCGAGTCTTCTTAACACAACTACAATACAATAAACAGCATTTTGTAGGATATACTGACTACAAAGTATGAGATCGCTACTGTTTATTGTAAAGCTTGATGCAAATACAAAAATTGTGTTGTAAAATCACTTACTCTTCTGCCTGTATAACCCAGACTAAAACTGTATCAGTAATCTTCCCTCTATTTTTACTGCTGGCATGCAATCCTCTAGCACTGATTGCTGGAAATTACACAGGTAATTCAGCCAGACACCGAAATTCAAATATGCTGTTCTGAAGGCTCTTAGAACACTAACAGGAAGACCAATTAAGCATACATGAAAGATATTCTCATTTTGAGCTAATACTTCTCTACAAAACCCATATGTGATGAGAACTACAGTGAATAGATAATGGTAAAACCCACTATCTGTTAACTAAGGAAAAAAATCTAAATATCTATGTGTAGTGACTAACAATTGACTGAAAACCAAATACAAACTGAGATACCTAAATTAGCAAAGAGGCAATATGACTTGAATTCTACATGATAATTGGGGAAAAAGGAGATTAATTCAAACCTCTCACAAATTTCATTTATTTATAGTTGTGTCTGTTTACCTAGGAAGGGAAAAAAACCCCACCAGCCTTCTAAGGGAATTGGAATTAATTACTTGGTTGTAAAGTAATTGAGTAATCTCTCTCCGAAGTATGCCAAAGCGTATCTGCACAGGGTTAAAACACATAAATGATGTGCACAGAACAAAGAGACCAATCAAGTAGAACATAGCAACCATAATCTAGTGTCTGGGTTTTTTATACATGTATACAAGAGTTCAAAATAATTTCCTCTGTAATAGTTCCAAAAATCCTTATGCTAAAACAAATGTTGGATGGCAAATTTAAAACGCAAATTCAAATACTGCCCTCACTTAGCCTTGCTTATTTTTATTTATCTAAAAGATACAATATCCTATAAACAAAGGCAAAATTTATCTGCTTTGATTCACAGTCCACGATTATTTGTTTCACAGTATCAAAAGTCATGCCTTATCTTGGTTCCTTTAATGGTCCAAATCTTTTCCTATCTAGGGGTTTTGTAGACATTTCCTATCAACTATTCCAGTATCCACTGCTAAATTATTAATTCTTCCCAGGAGATAAAAGAATGAGTCAAGTCTGTAATTCGCTCTATGCTTTTCACTCATTTCTCACAGTTGCTAGTGGCAAATAATTTGGCTATAGAGAAAAAAATCCTTTTTCTAAACATCACTACTTTGGACAAAATGCAGGATGAAGGTCATTCAAGTGCCTATTTGGACTTCAGAAAAGCATTTCTTTCATCACTACATGAATTCATTCACACAACATTTATTCCAGTTAGCTTGGATAAAAACTTGCACAGAAAAATTAAAAACTTGCTTAAGAATGGACAGCAACATAGTCTATCGATTGAGGTAGCAAGCCAGTACTGCTGAAAAAGTCAGGCTGCTTTTATTAATCCTCTATTCTGGTGAGATGTAAACCAAATACAGTTCTCAGAAAGTTCTCTCCCTCTCAGAGCTGGGAGGCATTAGATGCACAATGAAAATCAATTAATAATAAGAGACCCATTCTTAGGTTTCTTTAAATAATAATGATTCCCAAGTTACTGTTCTGCTATTAAACATCTTTGACAATTTGACTGTGGGGAAGAGAAGACAATTATATTGGATTGAGATTAATTTGAGTGTACTGAATGTTAGCCTGAGGGAAAAGATGGTGGAAGCTTAGACAGAATCCCCTGACTCGAGACTGTGGCAGTGGGGATCTGAATAAAAGCCAGCAGGACTGTGATTCACACGATCGGTATTGAAGGAAACGGTAAGACAGTGGACCCAGTACTACAACTACTAGAAGCCCTCTAGCTTAAATATTTTCCCAATAAAAGAGAATGTCAGTAGGAAGAGAACAGGGAATTGCAAAAGTAAATCAGTTCTTCAAAATCTCATCTTTATTTTTAGTACATGTTGTACTGAAGAACAGGATAGCTTAAAAAAAAAAAAAAAAGAGGAACTGCCTCTTTCTCCTCTTTATTACAGTTTCTGTTACCCAAATTAATGACACTCCAAAGGCCTATATCGTGTTTGTCACCGATAGCAGGGACACCTACTAAAGGAGGAGGAATTCAAAAGGAACTGCAAGCTGAACTTAGCCAAAATAGTCACTGGCATAGCTTTAACAGATGTTCACATTTCTCTTCCTCCTGCTTTCTCTACAGAGCCATCCTGCCTCATCAGCTGTTTCTACTTTTAACCTTTTCCCATCCTCCCAAGAATAAGTGTCATCCTTGCTGAGCTCCACACACTTCCCATTTTAATGATACAGCAAAGGGGTTAAAAAAAGTAGTCAGCAAGAAAAATAAGTTTCTGAACTTCAATCACTTGACCACATTTAGTACAAAAGAAATAAACACAGACAGCTTCTACCTTAGGCAGTTGCTCTTAAGTCTGACTTTAAGTGAGAAGGCAAGTCTGCAGGAGTGACATAGGAGGGAGAGTCTACTTATGTCATTGCCTGTACAAATGTTTTTCACTAATTAATAATCTTTGATTTGCCCAGGGAAAAAAAAAAAAAAAAAAAAAGGTAAACCCAACCAACTAAAACCAACCAACTAAACCACAAAACATTTTCAGAACAGCTATTTTCTTGACCAACACCCCCCTTGCTGTTGTTCTAGCATTCCCGGATTTTGTTTTGTTGCAGTATCTCTCAGAAATAGCTATACATGCTATTTTGTTATTTCTGGTTCTTTTTAGAGGGAGGCATACAACTCAAAGTATTTAAAACCCCGGGCAACATTTGATTGCTTCAGCCCAAGATAAAAGCAAAACCAACAAGTTGGAAAACGCCCAACCCTTTTCAAGTGCCCCTAATTTGAACTGCTGTAGTACAGTTAGAAAAAAAACGGTAGTCTCAAATGAAATTACAGATAGAGCTTTCACTTGCATCTCATCTCACATAAACTTCCTGGGAAACACCCTGCCTGCAGAGGGGCAGACTCTCTTCTAACTAAAAGGGCTTTGCAAGTGGGCAGTACCAACCAAACACTAATACACACCAGATTCATTTAGTCCTGAAAGTGGACTACAAAATCTCCACACTTCTCTCAGAGAGCAGGCAAGGGTAATTTGGAAATCTTCCTCATCAGGTAAGAGGCCCTCATCTCTGAGGGAACCACTTCTGCTAGGATTCAGACCAAATTGCTCTGATGGTATCACATAACAGTTCACAGCTGTGTGTGTGGGAATTGCTCCA